TGGCAAGTAGGTGCATAGTAGGTGCATGAAAGCAGTGATGACTTAGTGATGACCACATGCGGTCTTTTTAGGGAGCTTGGATCCACTTTTGGATTTTGCTCATTCACAACGAAGATGACCTACCTTCATAGACTTGGGGACAAATTCAGAGTTGGGGGATCATAAGTTATTGTTCTCCATTTTCCCTTTGACTGTGGGCATTCGTAGAAGCCTCTCAACCGATGATGTTCGACCTTGAATGGAGGGGTTTACCTCAGTGCGAGGTGCCCAAAGCCCTCGTCGACTGAGTCGGTGCCACCGGGTTTTCACCCGCTGCCTTGGGTAAGCGAGCTCATGTGCTTCGTTCCTCGACGGACGGAGCTGCTTCGATACATCCGCTTTCCTTCGCTGGAGAAGGTGAACGTGCCTTGCCATCCAAACGAAAATTCTGCTCCATACTCCAGCCATCTTCAAACCACGGACGAACCGGACTCCAAGCCGGACTTGTGACCTGGAATCTCTTCCAAGATCAGAACTGGACGGAACTCCGTTTTTGGATGGTGTCGAAGCACTGCACTCCATCCTTCTCAGAGGAAATCTGGTGCCAAAGAAGCTCCAGAAGCAGAAGCAGCCGTGCCGCGCGCTCATTGGCGGCGACCGTCGGGGGACGCCCAGCCATTGGCGGCGACCGTCAGGTTGGTCAGGCTGCGGCACAGGATTGGGTGGATGGATGTTTGGTTGATGGAACCATTCTTTTTGAATTGCGACGGTCCCTCTTCTGGCTCACGGAGTTTTGACGTATTGAGGATGGGCCATTAAACAACAGTGAGAGGATTGCGTACACTAGTTGTAACCCAAAGTGTTCTCTAACTCTTCCTGTGTACAAAGTATGAGGTGTACGGTGTACATCTACTATCCTGCGGCCATTCAACTATGACTCTGTACACCTCCTACTGCCATTCTCTTGTTTGGTGTCCTTCTGCTTTGGTGTCCTGGTCGAAGTGTTGGTTCTCCAACGCCCAATGGATGTGGTCTTCCCTCTTTTCTCGTTCCCAAGCGGTGACAATACGGGGGTATCCTTCGTCTAAAATGCCTATATAAAGGAGGGTGGCCAAAATATGCCAACATCATTTGGCTGCAATGAATGCACCAAGAGCACTAGATCAGAAGCTTGGTTGGTTTTTGATGGTCTGAAGTAAAGCAATTGTAGCAACAGAAGCTTGTTGAACCCTAAAAGGTCTCAACCAAGCGTTCCTCCTCTCCTTTTCAGGTCTCAGACCTGTCCTCCATTGGTCTCCACTCCCCAAGGTCTTTGTTTCGAGATTGCTGCGGCCTCTGTGATTGCCAAGGTCACCCGCGATAGGCCGCTGGGCCTGGGGGTGGTGGATGTTTCGGATGCCGGGCCGAGCCGTTGGAGCACGAACACCACACAGTTCTTTCCGAGTCCACGATCTCACTTTTGCTAGTCTCTCTCACTCTCTTTTTCTTTTTGCACCACGAGGTTTTCTCATGTCAGAGCAAAACATCACGATCCGTCTCCAATCATCCGCGGAAAAAAATCGGATTTCAACGACACCCAAAGTCTCCTCTGTCACTGTGTCGGTCCTAAATTCTTCTCCAACTCTCTAAGTGTCATTTCTTCCCCTTCATATTCATCGGTTATGTTCATTATCTTCGTTTAGGCTTTAGGGTTCATCTTTGTGTCATCGCCGCGGCACTTTTTTTTCGGCCGGAAAGGGCCCGTTGATTTGGACTCCCTCTGCTGGCCGTCTCCGGGACGCTGTTCTCTAGACACCGACCTCACCAGAAAACAGTTCGAAAACACAGTCACGACGGTGACCTCCTTAGGCGTTTTCGGTCTTTCGTCCGAGGAGTTGTGTAGACTCTTGATTGAATCAGCCTCCACTCCTATGAAGAGGCTTAGCGCATCCATGTCTGGGGGGGAGTGTTTGTGAACGACAAGCCTACACTCGTCTTTGACCTCGGACGCGTCACCGGGGACCTGCGTGTGCACCGGTGGAGTGGTGGGGGGTGAGAGGCTCATGATGAAGCTGGACCGGAGATACCCCAGCTACGGCTTTGCTGCACACAAAGGTGCGCCGATGCGGTGTTTTGGACCTGAGGGGGTTGGTGGGTGAAGGATGAAGGTCCCAAGGTGGTCTTTTTCCAGGGCGCCTGGTTCATGTGTTGGCCTCAGATGTTTGTGGATTCAGGATTCAGGATCACTCATTTTAGGAGTGACGGCCTTACACTAAAGTCGCAAAGGTATAGGTCGGACAGTGCATTTTCGCAAATCGCCCTCCAAAGTGCACGGTCCTAAAGCACCCGAGTGAACTTTTGCGAATGCTTACATCGAGTGGCAAGTTCTCCTACACCTGGACACCAGTTCGTGGTGCCTCCATTGAATTCCGTTGGTCGTTCGAGACGTTTTGGGTCTCCGGATTTCGGATTTCGTCCTTTCGTCCTGAAACGCCTGAAACGCATGAAACTGAGACTTCTGTCTTTCCAGGATATGGTACTGCAGCACATCAGGCTGGACAGAACAGTTGATTTCACAGAGATCTGCTGACAGTTCACATGGCTGTAAGACAGTTGGGCTTCACAAACCAAGGCTTTCCAGGTTTCAGTTTAGTCCAAAAGCCGTTCTTTTGGTTCAGGACAGGCTGTAAGACAGCCGTCCGGCCACTTCCACCTGCTTTCCTCCAGCTCTTCCGTGTTTCACCCGTCGGCCACGTCCAGGCTGCTCTGGTGAAACATGGGCCCTGCGTGGAGCATCGAACCAGCTTCGAGCCGATCAAGGCGACCCGACCCGCCGACCCGCCGGCGGTTCGGGAGACGAGAGCGGACGCGAGCGGAGAGAGGAGGACACGCGGTCTGTTCAGTTGATCAGAGGTGGGTCTAAAGGCCATTCTTTCGCTAGTGGAAGTCTCTGAAAGGAAATTGGCTGAAACGAGTCATTCCGATGTCCATTTGATGGTCTTACGCATGGAAGGATCCAATGTTGGCCATTGGCCCATGGGGCAAAGAATGCGAGTGAGCCATGCAAGAAATCACCGTCAGCCATTGGGCTCCCATCCCATGTCGGCATTGCGCCCGTTGGCGTAGCCCGGACGTCGTCGTGTCTTGTGACGGTCCTTTCCAGCGAAGTGTCGAAGTCAAGTGGCGAGTTGTGTTTCCTTCTCAGCCTCCAATCAAGCATCCAATTGAAGTCAAGATCCACGTGTTGCCTGCTTTCCACGCGCCAGGGCTTTGTAGCGACTGGCAAGTGGCGACCACGCGCCACACGTGCGAAAGGGGGAAAGTAAACACAGGGTGTTGAGAAAGAAGAGGGCTGAGTTAGAGTTCAGCACAAAATCAGAAGTTCACAGCAGCTGTGGCAGGTAGTCCACATGAAACTCATGAAACAATTTTAGGTTCTGGTGCACCGCCAAAAACATCACAGTGCCCTCCCGAAGGGAAACTTTAGGCCACGGCCTTTTTTCAGATCGAAGAAGAGTACAGATGCCTTGGGATCCTTCCCCAGATGCCCTTTTTCAAGAGTACAGATACCTTGGATCCTTTGGATGGTACTTCAAAAATCTGGGGGTGCACTTTGCTGCAATTCCGGCCCTGCAGCTCACTGCTGCGCTCTCTGAGCTGTTGCGCAGAGAGCTGCTGCGGTGGTCGCATGCGGTGACAACGGAGGGGTGACAGCGGAGTGCGTTGGGGTCAAAGGATGCGCAGCGGAGGGGAGGATGGGGAGAAATCAGCGAGGGCCTGGCATTCAATCAGATGTTTCTTCAGTTGAACTAGAAGGGAATGTAGCCAGGACCTGTAAGATATATGTAATACATTAATATACAGTTGATGATTTGACCCCAACTCGACATGACTTGATCCCTTTTTCCCAAGGGTCAATATTGAACCAAGGTGCATTTGGGTGACCTACGATGCCCAAACACCTCCTAAAGACTCCCGGTGTTTTCAGTGAACGGTCCTCCGTGTCCATTCTGGACACCAACATTGGCCTGTGATAGCATCCCATTGGTCACCACTCAACTAACTACATGGGGTGTTGTTTCTTTCGCCCGTTACATATAATAATATACTGTAATTATATAATACATAAGTCTTGACAAAGGGCTTGAACCAGCTTCTCCATCATGCCACACCAATTTTTTACTCACTATTTTCACTATTTTTGCACCAGCAGTGAACATTGTCCGGCAAAGACTGAACTGAACTTGCGATGCTGGGGTAGTTGTGATGCGAGCTTCCGGAGCAGGTTGTGGTGCAAGTTCTAGAGTCTCTAGAGCTCTTTGCAGATCTAATCTCACATGCTGTTACGCTGACACTGAGGCATCTCAGCATGCTGGCATGTGGTCATGCTGAGGTGTGGCTGACATGTTAACATGCTATCACGCTGAGGTCTTGTAACGCTGAGGTCTTTGCTGACGTGTCACTGCGGATGTGTGTCTACACGCTGTTGTCGGGCCAGCGTGCTACGGTGCTGAAGTCGGACCATGCTGTCGTGCTGACGCGCTGGCAGGCTCCAGTCTTCGCTTCTTGCTGGCTGCGACGTTGCATGTGGGCACATGTGCTATGCCAGCATATTTTTGTGTTGCGATGCTGGTACGGCACATGTATCAAAACAGCATCGTCTAGCAGCTAGGAAAGACAACACTTGTTGGTGAACGTGCGATGGTGTCATTGTCTAGTAGGCGGATTCATGCCTATATAGTATTATAGTTGTTGCGGATATTTCTAGGACTTGCTTGTATCAAGATTTTCAAGGTTTTCCCCATGCTGCGGCTGTTTGTCGAAAGCAATGGATTGATTAGATGTCCCTGAGACTGGGTTGCGACGGAGCTGCTGAGAGCGGTTGAGAAGGTCGCATGCAAAGAGGGTCTTCTAACCAGTCTTGAATAAGGTGCAAAAACCCAACACCGAGAGAGGCTTTAGTGGGCCCAAAAGATACCCCGACCTGCAATTCCCAGAGTAACTGGCTTCCACCTGCGCTCCACCTGCAGTATCCCCCGCAGGGACAGCTGCAGCACCAGCTGCGGTCAGGGCGAGCAGCGACGTGCGCGCCGCGTCGTGCGCGAGGTGCGGACACGCCCGACGCGTCACGCCCAGATCGAACCGGGTCACTGTCTGGGGTCGTGAGGCATTTTCATACCAAGAAAGGGTGTCTTCACAACTCGCCCTGGCACAAGATGGAGGCTTTGAGCAGCTTTGGAGAGCATTTCTGAGCCGCTTTTGTGCTTCATGTCCCACCGTCCCAGGCCGCGCACGACGGCCATCCCTGCGAGGCTGGGATGCACAGGGTGAAGGTGAAAGAATCTCATGGGGAAGTGGGGAAGGTTGCCTTTTTGGGGGTCGTTCCAGGTCATCTTCTCGACCAGCTTTTGTCTCCGTCTTTTCTGGGTCCAGTTGTGTTCTGATTTCTCTTTGCCAAGCTCCCGGGCCTCCCGGGCCTCCGGAGTGGATTTCTCCTCGCCTCTTCGTTATCAGTCATCAGTTTCTCAGAGCTGGTGGCGAAGTACTTGGTTTGCAGTTGGATCTGGCCGTGTCTCCCTCAGTCTTAATCTGGACAGACGTGTGTATCACTTGCTTAATCATTCAGGAGTAGGTTGTGGCGGTTTGTGGGTCTCAGTTTTAGGCTGAAGAGCCAGAAATTTGAAAGCCGGCTTTTTGGGAATTATCACGAAAGGTAGCTTGAGCTATCTGAGTTCTCCTTGCTTTAGCAAAAATGTATTACAATCAGGAGTTGGGATTGTGCATTGAATTTGGTCCTGTAAGAGTTGATTCTGTTCGTCGGGGGGGGGGGGCCCCCCCCCCCCCGGATCAAATCTCCCCTGCGCCGGTTCACGCCGTCATGGACTTCTACCAGGGTTACTTGTGATTGCCTGCTACCCTTCGTTCACCCCCTCCTCTCTCAAGTTTTCACCTGCGGACTGGACTTGCACTATTTGAGAGGCGGGAGGCAGCCTGGAGATCCAAGCCTGTCAGATCCGCGATTGCCTGCGGCGGACCGAGGAGAGTGGGTTTGACCGGTAGGGCAGACCGTGGGTCCAGTAATTGGGATGGTCGTATCTGATAGAACGAATGCATTCACTGTGCCCAAAGAGTATGTAGTGCCACCCAATTTTTGCAGCTGTTGGTGGATGGTGTGTGGTTTGGAACAGCCAGCCTCAGCACAGAACTCCTTTGCAACTTGTGGACATTTGCCAGCCATGTCTTTGATGGAGAAGAGCCAGGTCTCTCCTCCTCTGGTCGCCCATGTGCTTCAAACCCCCGTTCGCAGCACACCGCTGCGCTGTGCCAGATCTGCGAGTGGGCCACGTGGTCCGCGTGGTCAGATTGCCGGCGGGGCGCTTTGCCAGTGACGCGGGGGGCCACAGAGACTGGGGTTCGCGTGCTACAGGGCTAACCTCTAAGTGATCAAGAGCATGGAATCTTTTTGTTTTAAAATGGAACTTTGCAGGTTGTGTAAGGGTGAAGGCACTTGACACATGTGATGTAGACTCTTGATGGAGAAAACCTCCATGTGAAGAAGTTTTGCAATTCATGTCTCGAGGGGTTACAATTCATCAAGAGTCTACATGTATTTACCCCTTGGATGAGAAGATCATAGAAAACCTGAGATGTGGAAGTAGGAGAGATGAACTGCATAGGCTCGTGGCTGCAAAGTCGTTCCCTTAGCGTGCACCAAGTGGACAGCCAAGGAGACCATGCGTTCTGCGGCTGGAAGAGGGATGGTTTTGCGATGGATCCCATAAGTCAATATACGTAGGAGATCAACAGGTGGTGGGCTGAGTCACTACAGACTACAGTGACTCCAAAACGAGTACGAACGGTCCGCCAAGCTGCACGACTGACTCGGTGAAGTGCGCCTGCGAGGCAAGGTGGTCCAGCCTGCAGCGGTGGCGATTCAACGAAAGACGACCAAGGAATACAGTAAGATAGCTGGTTTCCAATTCTCCGCCCTTCACATGTCAAGACACTACAGTTGGAAGGATGCTGGAGTTATGACCTTCCTTTGGCCACAGCACACATCCAGGGAAATGGATGTAAAAATGCATACCATGTGCCCTAAAATGCATATTGAAAATGGATGTTGTTTCCTAGGGTTTCCAAACTAGTGTAGGTCATGTAGAATATTTTTTTGACGCTCAAACATGTAGTGAGCTTTGCTTAGGATTCTAGTGTAAACATCTGCATTTTCCCCAGATAGCCAATATGCAGAAAATATGCAATAGGAGGACTCAATCACTACTGCTTGTCAAAGGGAGCAAGCCCGCACCAACAATGCGACATTCAGCACCATCAATGCGACATTCCTTCTTATCTCAGCTTGTGGATGTTAGGCTTCGGGGCCTGTGACCGTAGGTGACCGTAGGTCAGTACTGAGCAGAACACATGGCTGTTTCTCCGTGCTTTCTCGCTTCGTCAAAACCGCTTTTGGATGAACTAGGTGCGGTGGTGGGCAACGAAAGAGAAGTCGCTTCTCTCAGATCAAGAGCACGCCGGGGCCCAGGTGGTAGGGATGGGGTTTCCGCCATTCATCTATTGCAATCCATTGCCATGCGTGAAAGAAATCTCATCCATTTTGGTGGCTTCTCGGGCCGGGAACAAACTTAGAACCCCCGGGTTGGATGAATCAGCGTCGCGCAATAAGCAGCATGCTCCAGTATGTGAACCATGTTTGGTTCTCAATCACCCGCTAAACATCCATATCAATCACTTGCTGACCCAATTGCTGTTGATGCACAGCACCCTGCACTGTTTGAAATGCACCAACCTCTGGGATATCCTCTATACATTTAATCTTCATCATAGGTTGTGTGAATTGTTTGTGAACCAGCTCAGAGTGTGGTTCAGGTCTGCTGTCGCGTGGTAGGGAGCTGGGAGGCTTCAGGGTTGCTTGAACCAAGCCAGAAGCCCAGAACTATTCTTTTTTATCTCCTTTTCATCCATTCCAAACGGATTTCCCATCCCCAAACCAGTAAATGTCCGCCACTCCTGAGGAGTCCAATTACACGACTCAAGGACTAAGATGCCACAAAACTTCAGCAACTATATACAACCCCGTCTTGCCCTTCCTGTTTTGCGATGTCTTCTGTTTTTTTGGGGCTGGCGAACACCTCCGCCGGTGGCCTCCCCGACCGTGCCGGGTGTCCCTGGCCTCGAAGGCGTTTGGCCCGCCTGGGCGGCGGCGCGTTGGCGGACTCCTCCGACGCGGTGGGTGCGGACCAAGGCTTTTCAGGAGCCTTTGCGCGGAGAGAGTCTTTTGTTTCTTTTTCCGCTGGAGGCCATTGGTAGTAGGTTGGAGGTCTTCGGTATTAGGTTGGAGGCCATTGCTCATCGCTAGTAACTAGTAGGTTGGAGGTCATCGGTATTAGGTTGGAGGCCATTGCTCAT